GAAGTGGGCACAATGGCGAGGGAGGGCGGTCACTGCTGCCGTCATTGGCGGAAGGGCTGAGTGGGATGTGGCCAAACGCTCTCTCGTAGCCTTTCCACCAATGACCTTAGCAGTAACTGCCCGCCCACAACCATCGGGCCCATTGCCTTTAGTACTATCCCTTTCCAGCTTTGACACGTCCTCAACCAAACCGTGGTGTACCAGCACCATGGTTTTTCAGGTTTCGAAATTATGAAAAATTCTACGAAAAACCACAACACTCGGATGTTCAGAGAATCCGCCACGATAGTGTTGTGGAAGTTTCCTGGAGAAAAGAGAAAATCAGAATAAACTCAATTCGCTGGAATAAACTCAATTCGTGCCCAAAAATTTTCATTGCATATTCATACATGTAACTCAATCAGGCAGCCTATCAAGTGAAGTGGCATAAATGCGTGCACAAGTCGTCCAGTGCACTAACACGACGATGATTTGGACCGGTTGTAATGGCGAGGGTCTTCGTGTACAGCCCCAGTCTTCCCTTTCGGATACCTTAATTCTTGGTGTCCTGAACAAGAAATCAACCTATAGGCTGCGTTTATACTTTGCGGCAGCGTAGCGTAGCGCTTCCAGCGTACGCCAGCGGCAGTGCCGGGGAGAGGATGCATATCGATCTAGCGTTCCCAGCGTCAGCGTCACGCTAGCGTACGCTACGCTGCCGCAAAGTATAAACGCAGCCTTTCAGTTGTTGTGTGCCTTACGAGGTTGATAGGTGGAACATTTATTAATGGCCTAACGTTTCGACCCAATCGTCGTCTTCAGAGGCCAGTTGTTCCACCCTTTAAGCGGATAGGTCCGCAGCCACACCACAGAGCTGTTAGTAGAGAAATATAAACGCAGCCATATTCTGGGGGAAGCACTCTTTTGCATGGTAGCAGACGCACGCGACTGCGCGCGACATGCTGCTGAACAGCAGTAGCAACCGAGCTTGTCATAGCGTTGGAATTCTTTTGCAAAGTTCACCCTATAATTTCCACATTTTCAGTACCACTGCTTAACACCCTTCTTGTGACCAGCCATAGTTATCCCAAAAGTTTGCCGTCGAACGGGAGTGGGGAGGGTTATAAAGGGCGCGTAAAATGGGATAATCGAAAATCGGAAAATTTCCTCTCGAGGTGGAATACGGCTCTCGTTCCCCAAACAAATACGATCCTCACAATCTCTTATGGTCTCTACAACGATGATGTGCCCTCCGTAGTAAACGCACTAGCATTCGCGGTATTCCAGACGACGGTGACTTTGGCACACGGTCCAAATTTTACCCCAGGAAGTAGGTTACCTAAAATCAGGGTACAGAGTTGTAATATTTGAATGACGGTGTCAGCACGACCCCTTCCCCTCAGTTTTTTCATCTGATGCAACCCCCTTCCTCATCCAACTACGTTAGCCCAACTTCTTCCACTTTTCCCAGTTTTCCAGCTCTTTTCCAAAATAAATTACTATCGCGTTGAATGGTGGGGGAGGGGAAAATGTGTGCACTACCGAGGATGAACATGGCACCCGTGAAACGGGGGAAAAACAATTGAAACCTTTTATCTGACCGAATTCCCTCCCCCCCTCCTCCTTCCTGATGAAATTCTCCAAATGATGCTATAGCCTGCTCACAAAGATAATCAAGTCACTGTGTCATCGCACCGGGGGAGTCAAAATAATTAAAAGGCAAGTACGACAAATCCCAAAGACGTGTTAGCCTTAACGTCTACGCAAGAGTACTAGAAAGAATGCAGCTCGGATCGCTCCTGAGCAGGCTCTGTGCACACTTTCCTCGAATGAAGTACACAACCCTGTGGCGCCCCTAAAAGTACCCTATAGCGCCCTATCAAGCTGCAACATACCGACCGGACGCCCACCGCGCCCGCCCGCCCACAAATGTCCGACCGGTGCTGATGCTCGTGTCGCTTCTATGCGAACTACAAAATTTGAGAAGAAGCGAAGGGGTTGACATGAAGCGGCTGCGGTGCTGCGTAGATATACGCTCCTTATCCCTGAGACGGAGTAGGCGTGGCTTTTGAGCATGGCATAGGACGGGTTTCTCGTGGGATACTTCAATTTGAAACAACTGCTATCTTGTTCTGTGTTAGATGTAGACATGATTACGACTGCTCCAAAATGACAATATCTCACGAAAACCTGGGCCGCCGCCATTTTAAAATCAAGTACGCAGCCACGCCTACCCGATCTCAGGGATTTCGAGTATAATACATGCAGCCGTATCTACCGTAGCGGTTATTGGCACGATGCCAACGGGAAACTCGTCCGAAATTGCTTTCTGAGTCGTGTAGAACAAGGCTTTTTGCAGTTTTGAACCATTTTGCTTCGCTTTTCGCCTTTTCCCGCCTTTTTTTTCTCTTTAGCACCACTGCTACCTCCATGACCGATTACCAGTTTATCGTGCCATGTCTTGAACGCGGCGCAACCGCAGTGCTTCAAGTCGGCTAGCAAGGAAATAATCTGCTGGTTTCCGCGCAATGGCATGATTCGGGACTAAGGAAATACACTTCCAAATAAAGTGACGATGAACTCTGAAAAGCTAGAGGGGTCTGCCGATTCGAACTACCATCCGAACCTTCTCCACGCGGCGCATCAAACTGCTACGTCATCTCTTTCAAGGCAAAATATCAACGGAGAAAAAAAATGGATTCTCTATCTTGTTGGCAGCTGCAGTATTCATGAATTGTAAATATGTAAAATCATATATGAAAAGGTGATTTTCATAGTTTGCAAACGAGGAAAGTACAGTGCGAATAGAGCTCATCATTCGTTGTGTAAATCTACAGGATGAGGAGTTTTTTTGGGTGAGGAGAGTGGTTGTGCAAAGATTCCCCACAACGTGATTATGTGCCCAGATTGTAAGGGTCAAGCCAGTGTGGAGCTCCTCATTATGTGTCACGGAATGGATGTTCGAAACTAAGCGCGGCTCATTAACTAATTAGGGCCTGGGCCAGTGTTATCCTTGCTCCCTTTCATAACATCGAATGCAACGGATTCTAGCGCACGCAAGTGAACACGTACTCGCAGCAAATTCTTTCTTTTACCACTAAGAAAAAATTTGCACAATTCCAAAGTTGTTCAGTGAGTGAATTGGATTCCCTTTCTCAAATGTTAAGCACTTACGGGAACAACATGCCGAGACTTCCTCTCAGATGAAAGACACTCCCTCAAGTGATCCTCAAAATGACTTCGTGCTTTTTGGAACCCTCTACGCCTTGACGAAGATGATACCACTTTCATCCCTCAATATGGCGCGATAAGGAAGTTATAGCGATTTCCACAAGGCTCGCTAGGGCTGACACGGTAGGTGGACGAGCGTCCGGTCCCGAGCTGCTTCCGTCCCTTTAAAGTATCCTGTTTCGAAAGTCGGGACGCAACTGCGGCTGCCCCATCGATTTCCGGCAGCCATGTCCGGCACACTCGTCCAGGCCCCGCCCCCACTGCTAAAGGGAGGTCTGTGTTCAGGGTGTTCGCGAGGTTTTTTTTTCGATTTTTTTCCACGGGGGGGGGGGTTACAAATGGGCCACTGGCTTCGTGAACTGAGTACCGATTACCCGAACACTTGATCGCGGGAATTGTCTTTATAGGCATTCAGCACCATACTTTGCCACTCTGGCTAAAATGAGGGTGCTTTATGTTGGGAAAATGGCTAAAAAGCGAAGTGAGATGGTCAAAAAAAACTGCAAAGAAAGTTTTGTTCTTCACGACCCAGAAGGCGACTTCGTACGAGTTTCCCGTTGTCGTCGTGCCAATAGCCGTACGGTAGATATGGCTGATTGTATGAAGTCATATGGTGCTCATCATTGCAGACCGGTGGGGCGGGTGAGCCGCGCCGCGTGTGACTCGGCTGTGACGCGACTGTCATCGCTGCCGCGTCACAGCCGAGTCACACGCAGCGCGGCTCACCCGCCCCACCGGTCTGCAATGATGAGGACTGTATCCATGCAGCATCACAGCCGCTTCATATCAATCCCTTCGCTTCATATTTACTTCGCAAATGAAGCGATACGAGCATCGGCATCGGTCGGATATTTGTGGGCAGGGGACGTGACGGGCGCTATAAGGGTACCTTCCCCGAGAGAGGCCCCACGCAGCACCCTCGGGCGGCGAATTCCGTCCCTATTAATCTTGAACGTCTTCGGGGTTTATCGTGCCACTGGCCTTCAAAGCTTAGCGTGCTGCACGTGCACCTCATCATTGCGGACTGTCGGAGGCGGCGTGAGCAGCGCGGTTCGAGTCCGCGTTCGGCTCCCTTGCTCTACCAATGGCGATCGGGTAGAAATCGATTTAGGAAGGAAACAACCAATGATGGAAACGCCGCCGCAGCTGAGAGCCGCTGATTCCGACCCGTGCGGTGATGTTGAGTGTAAGTTCCATTAGGTTGCACGTGTAACCACTAGTCGAATTTTAGCGTGCTGTTAATATCTGAACGGATCTTCTGCGGAACCTCTCCGCGATTGTTGGGGCCTATAAATATGTACACATGACAAAGAAACATCGTAAAGAACTCGTCCGTTCGTCTCTAGCTGAGAGACTTCCGAATTTCTGAAGTCGTACAGCAGCACACAGTCGAAACTCGAGAAAGTAATACGGTAAAATCAAATTAAGAGCACATCGGATGGACTGTGCCAGGTATCTGGCACAGCGGCTATATACAGGTCCAAAACTCTGACGTGAATTTTTCTCAACGATTGGTGTATGGTTGCTACCCTTTCATGTCCCCATCGACTGGTTCGCTGCGGAGGAAGGGGCGTTATCAGTGCAGCTGAGTGTGGTGCGGCGCCAAGCCCGTTCTTCGCCTGTCGTTGAAGCGAGCAGGTGACAAGCTGTATCATATCGTTCGTATCACTCGTTTTCTACCGATTGTTGTCGCATACCCGCTTCAACAACTGGCACAGAACGGGTCCTGACGTAGCTGCTCCGTATTCGGCAGAATTGTGGCGAACGAGTGCGATAGGGTGGGGCATGTAGCAAGACTAGCCTGCAGTCACTGTCTCTTCTGACGTTGGACTTGACGGAAGAAGGATCACTATCTTCAAGAGCCTGAAATAGACAAAAAACGATGTACAATCTGCACGAGTCTGAAATACTTGAAAACACTGATTTGTTATCCCGAAAAAAAACAGTCACTGATGTCTATCACGGACAAAGATTGAACGAAAAAAAGAACTATTCGGCCCCAATACCCTAGTCAGCCCTTCTATTGTGACGGAACGCGGTTGAAGTGCATCGCTTGCGCAATTCCGTGCTCTGATGCCAAGGCCCCAACATCAACGAGGTTGACCGCGGCGCCGCGTTGATATTTGGGCTATTTTCGGAAGGTCAGTTGGTTTATTATTATTGTTTTTTGTTACTTTTGTAAGATTTCAACAGTTATTCACATGCTGTTATGTGCTCAAATTTAACATATCTAAATTCAGCACAGCATTAGCATATGAATTTAGGTTCACTGGACTCTATCGTAGTTGCAATTAAATTTACGGCCAGTACAAGTACCACACTCCAAATCGTAAGTGTTAGTTATTGATTACTGGATGTAGCTTCTGAAAATTATTGGCCGCATGAAGCCTATTGCGTGAATCCGAAGCGTTCAGGCATTTCCGGTAGAAGTTTTTAACTCCATCGTTAGTTAAATACCGGCGTATTTTTTTCAATTCCAGTAAGTTCTTGTGTGTCAGCTGGGTCGTTAGATGAGCTTCTTATTGATTGTTTGACGTTTTGGCTAGATTGTCCCCTTCCTAGATTCAAAAATGGCTCAGTTTTGAAGGGTCGCCCTCCGGAGCGACCTCCCTAGCATTTCCGGTGCGAAATTAGTAAAGGAACCAAGAGTTCCTGTGTGGATATGTGGACCCACCCGGTCCGCCACACTAGGCTGCCACACTATCCAGGGCACATCACTGATTGGAGATTTTGGTCGAGTCTGTATGACCCCCCCCCCTTTTTTTTGGGGGGTTGGTACGACCTCCGCCCACTTCTACCAATTCTCAGTTTTCCACCAACTTCCTGCTACTTTTCCAAAATTTCCCGAAAACTTCCCTACTTTTTCCCAAAAATTTTGCTGTCGAGCGAGGGAAGGGGCATATAGTACGCATGAAACAGGAAAATCACCAAAAGTCAACCACCACTTCTAAACGTAAATACGACCTCCCCTCCCACAATGATCAAGTACGACCCCCCCCCCCTTTACAACGTCCGTGAAGCGAGAAAAATCAACTATCAAAATAAATTTTTCCCAGCCCAAATACGACCCCCCCCCTCCTGGCGGCCAAATACGACCCCCTCCCATTGGGGATTCCCCAACAACGATGTGCCCTCACACAATCAAGTTCAATTTGTCTGAAAATTGTAAGCGTTACGTATCTCTAATGGGTCTTTTATAACGCGTTACAAATGTTAGAGAAGTTGAGCACGGCTTTTGTGTGCGTTGCAACGAGAAATTCAGTGGTATTTGCTGTTCTCGTGCCAATTTGAAGGCGACTATCGATTTATGTGCACGATTTTATGCTGCTTTGTTCTTCAAGCATATTGGGATTGCTGTAGGGCCTTATTCCCTTATGACTTGATTCCCACACCCGATTCTCCTCCCCTCACTAATCTCTGCCAAAATTCCCTGCTTAACATAGCACCAGTTTTGCACAAAGATTCCTTCAAAGTGTGATGCACGTGATAATTTGGTGTTCGGTCTAAAATGGTGGCAGGGGTGCTATATAATGAGTAAATCGCAGAAAAGTGGAGCGAAACCTTCGAAAACTTTTGAAAGCCTTCCTTATACAAATACGACTTAATAGGCAGTTCCGGACGAGTTTTCCGTTGGCATCGTGCCAATAACCGCTACAGTAGATACGGCTGCATGTGTGTACTCATATATCCACTGCAGCCGCTTCATATCAATCCCTTCGCTTCATATTGTACTTCGCAAATGAAGCAATGAAAGCATCAGCATCAGGGACATTTGTGGGTGGGCGGTATGATGCAGCTTGATAGGGCGCTATAAGGGTACTTCCTCAGAAAAGGCGCCGCGCAGCTCTTGCTCGGGGGCTCCCAGTCCTGTTAGATATATCAATCCTACGTGTCAGCGCGTACTAATTAATCCTACACGTCTTATGAATTCATCATGTCAGTTGCCTTGAAATGTTTCCTCCCAACCCCAGAGAAGAACCAGGCGTTCAGTTTTCGAATGATGGTGACTTCAAGGCAAAGTAGTCAGGCTAGTCCTGGATTTGCGTTAACAAAAAGTGACGGCCTGGTCTGGCTCGCTGAAGCTTACGATTGTTATTTCATTTTTAAATTCATCATAAATTTGCTACAAAATAAAACCTCGTAACTCTATGATTTCAACCGAAAAACTGAACAATGAATGGGTGCATTGAAGAATTTTTGTTTTTTTTTCCACTCCACTTTTTTACAGTTCCAAAGGACGAGTTCTGAGCAATAATAGCTAACTGCACCTTGTAACCTCGATTGCCTCAATATTAAAATCTATTTGTAGCAAAAAAGTAGCGTTGGACCACCCTATAGCAATGTGGTCGAATGGAGAGAAAGCAAGTCTACGATTAGACCTTCGGAAGCGCGGCTCACAATCTTCCACTGCCTCACAGAGACGTCTACCACCAAAAAGTGATCCATTCCAAAAATGTTCTGTAAGTCAGTAATGTTCACATTGTTAGCTGCATATATAGTCTTGGTCGCTGCGGATGATGAGGCGTGTCAGCGCGGCTGCGTTTGGCACGCCGCCAGCGCCAACTATTCCACCAGTTGTGGAGCGGGTAAACGACAGCAAATGGTGGGGAACCTCTGATACGAACGATATGATTCAGTTCTGTCGTTCGCTGTAAGAAAAAAAATATGAAAATACATAGAGCTGGCTCCCAAACGCAGCCACGCTGACACGCCCCATCATCCGCAACGAACAAGGCTGTACACGTTTCACTTGTAACGATGGGCCCAAAACGTTAATGGAAGCGGTATAATTGACTTTATGTTATTGCAGATGTGCTCAAACGATATCCCTGGCTTCCTTGAGCACTGTGTTCTATCCAGTGCTCGTTCAGTAGTGCTCTCTTGCGCTCACGTCATATGTGATGAGTGTTTCGAGAAGCTAGGTGAGAATCTACGATTTCTTTAGTGTTTCGGAAACTTCATCTGCTATTTGTAAGTTTTTCCTATTAGATCGCGTTCAGACTTCGCGTTCGCTCGACTGGATCGCGCGACCACCACTGGATGGGCTCCAGCGGTGCGTCGCCGCAACGGTACAATTCAGTTGGCGTTGTTTGAACGTGGCCCAGTCTGAATTCTGTTGCTGCGGTGGCTACCGCTTAGTGGCGGAGCGTTCCCGGTCGTGCTCGCGCGATCGCGAAGTCTGACCGCCGTCTCAGTAGCGAACTGCCACCACGGTGCATCATCGCTGAGAAGGGTTACAGGGCATCTGTCAAGTGAATGTTCCTTCGCTAGGACTGTCCAGGGTTATTCACTCCTCTCGTCTTTTCGCCGAGCGTTCCAATGGAGGAGAACAAGATGAGTAAGGAGAAAAAGAAGGGAAGGGGACAGAATACTGAGACGCTCTGAATAGTCCAGGACTAGGGGCGGGAAGGGGAAGGGTCGTACTTACACTAGTGAATTTATTGTGATCTGCCCTCTCGCTGCTTTTTCCGTTTTCGTGGCTGGCCTGAGGTCTGTACCCTCTGCTCGACGATTATTGTGAATGAGACACTAATCAGTAAATTCGCCCATCACAATGGAGCGCCCTCTAGCCCAAGGAAAATGTAGGCAGTATTCGCTGTTGATCACTGTCTCGGGTAATCGGGCTACCATCGCACTACTTGGCTTGGAGTCTACCACTCCTGTTCTCTCTCAGCCACGCGGATAAGCCTTGTTCGCTGTGGAGAAAGGGGCGTGTCAGGCGATATAGGTTTGGCGTAGCGCCAAGCACGTTCTTCACGAGTTGTTGAAGCGGGTAATGTCAGTAATTGATGAAAAACGGCAGATGCGAACGTTCTAATACAGCATTATCCCCTGCATGCTTTAACAACAGCTAGAAACGGATTTGCCGCACCAGATCATTCCTCCTGACACACCCCTTCATCCGCAGCGGATAAGACTATGCATGCCCTTTGCGAGGCGAACAACGAGCAGTCAGCGGGTATAATAGATTTAATAAATCTACATTGACCAATATTACCTGCGATCTACTGTAATCAATATTCCATATAATTCTTAACATGGACACTACCAGTTTACTTTTTAGGTTCAACATCATTTCAATCCGAAAATCGCGACTATGTTAAGTGTGTACTTTGCCGATCGACGGTATCCTACACATTGCTACCAACTCTGGACGATCTTATCCCATTGCCGTATGTTTTAAACAATGTCATCTTGTTTTGAAGTGTTTAGATGAATTCAAAAATTGAAGTTTAGCTCCTGCACCGGTTGTGCTCAAACGGCCGATCGAGAATGTGTACAGTGCTGTTTGAAGTAGGTTGTCACTTTTACATGAAATTAATTTCCCTTTCTTCTAAGAAGTTCCCTTTAAGCCTCACGACCTCGTCCTATGCAAAAGTAGAAGTTCTTTGTTCCAAATAAGTTCTGTTTTGCCAGATTCCCCTGAATCTGAGAGTGATACTTCGCGTCAGTGTTTAGTGTTTCGAGCGACTAGGAAAGTGTGGATTTCGATCCAGCGCTTTGAGCGAGCGCCAGGTTCTTGAACTTTTCGCGGATACTTGCTGTACTAAGCCTCTAACTTGTGCTAACGAGCGATGCGACTACAACATACTTCCTTTACGCTTCCCATAACGTTGATTCAGTTATAAATTTATTGTTTTTTTTTCGGCGCTGTAGTTTTTGCATTTCTCATTTGCCATATCAGTTTGCTCTTTTTTCTAAAAGACACCACCTTCAGGTTGTGTTTCGAATTCGCCTCTCGAGAAGGTTAGGTAAAGCAGCTGCAGGGGCATGACCCTTGCACACTTTGTTCCTTTCAGTCTGCAAAACAACGACTTGCATGGTGAATTACGTGCATGCATTTTGTTGTGCGCAGCGCCGTGGGACGATTTCATAGTTTTGTCGCAGAGAATCTTAGCGTGCGATTCTTCGCTTTTGCGCTGCATGCCCAGGATAGTAAGTCAAAGTGTGCAAAAGTCACGCGCCTGTAGCAGCCTTATCTCGCCCTCATCTATTTCGAGAGGCGAAGTGGCACACCCTATGCGTGTGCAGGCGTAGATATTAAAATCACGGTGGCATTTCGCTGGCCACTAGATCGCGGGAACTATCCTCAAAGAGTC